TTTTTGTGTTCTTTGGCTTCGTTTCCAACATTGATGGTTGTTTTGACAGATTGATGATGTCTACTGGGTGGAAGGAGTCGGTACTGTAGTCTCTGGAACAGTACTCGCCGGAACTATCAAAGTGAACGACACGCTCCTACTTGGCCCAAATTCAGTGGGCGAGTTCATTCCCCTGCCAGTGAAATCTATTCATCGAAAGCGATTACCAGTCTCAAGTGTTCGATGCGGTCAAACGGCTTCATTTGCTTTGAGGTGTGTCATAGTTTTTACTGATTTTGAACGAATTTTGTGCTCATTCTTAGGCAGCGTTCACACTTCGCGACATGAGCGGCTCAATTGCGAAGTATGAACACTGCCCTGAGAGCACGTTCATATTCCATAGTTCGGACGTTCTCATGGCAAGAGCAATCTGCTCGCTCACGCTTACTGAGCGACCGAATCGCGAAGTATGAACCTACTTTTACACACTTATATCAGTCTGAACCTCCGGTGTGTCGTGCGCGCTTATCCTCAAAGGGAGTATTTACTACTGTACTTTACTTATTTCTCGCCGGGCTCGTGGGTGCTTTTGCTACTCTTCCAGTTTGTTGCCAGTACTTTTTGTGTACCTTTTTCCGCTGTTAGGTTGAAAATAGGGGTTACTCTACGACTTGAACTATTGCATGAGATTTAGGCCTACCGTCATTTGGCGCAACCACTTTCTTCACCCGTCTCTCCGTATAGAAACTATTTTAAAAGTGTCAAGAGTAGTTGTTTAGGAAAATCACTAAGCGTGAAGTGAGGAAAGGCATGGTTATGGTAGATCCTCGTTTGAACCCAGTCTCCAGTATGCAGTTTGAAGCAGAGGTTTGTTTGTTCCTTTGATTTGTTTTCTCTCTGAAGTATTCTCCCAGGTATTTATTAAATTTTTGTGACATTTTTTCCACATAGTTTTTCACACTTTTGGCAAATAATTTGATTATAGATTCTGATATTGCATCATCCTACCACGATAAAGCCTAATTACCAAGCTATGCTGCACATTGGGTCCATAAGGCAAACTGCTACACTCGTTAGCATGACAAAGGTATGCAACAGTTTTAAGAGGGACAAAAATTGATTCCTTTATTTCTTATCTGTACCCTACCATAACTCGTAAATTGAATACTTACTTGCCCCTTCTTCTCTTATTCTGAATTTCACCAAAGTCAGCTGAAGATTTTGTTGGAGCGATCAAGTCTTTCTGAGTTAGGCAGCATTCAGACTTCGCGATAATGCGCTATGCGCCAACCAACGGCGCTTCTTTGCGCTAACCAACGGCGCCCTAGTGCTGTGGATGCGAAGGCAGCCGCAGAGGGGAGTCGATCAGCGCTGACCGCTTGCGTTTCGAGACAGTACAGTACAACAGGAGAGAGGGTGCTACCTTCTAACAATCTGGTACTCTTACCTTCCTCTCTATTTCAAAACACAGGCGGCCGGCTCCGTTCGCTTCCGGTCTGCGGCTGCGCTCCCGTATATAGCATTGGAGCACAGCTACAACTGTAGCGCATCGACAAGCGTTACAGCGCTCTGTTGTGAAGTCTGTACGCTGTTTTACGGCTTGTCATGGCGATGCGAACATGATGTTAACCCCCCCCCCCCCGCCGCCCAATCTGGCCGCAGCGCTTTTCCAAACTAAGATTTCTGAGCAAGTGGCGCAGAATGGCCTAATTGCTACCACATTGTTGTCTTTCAGTTTTTTGACCATAGTCCGTAGGGCAATGAGCAGTGAGGTTGTGGAAGGGCACTGTTTTAAGCGGTAATCTACTGCGGCTTCTAGCTGCAGAACGAAATCTATTTTGACGCATGACATAATGAACTCTTTTCAAAATGCTGATTTGTAGGAGGTTCTGCGCACTGGTGATCGTGACCGAGTAATGTTTAGATTCATTCGTCTACCCGAATACATACGGCCAGGTGTGATAGTTCAACTATCTTTATTAGCAGTTTTTTAAAACCAAGTTTATAGAACTTTTCAGGTACCCGTATGGTTTTCCGTGAAGGCCGCACGAAAGCCGTCGGTACAGTGGTGAATGTGATTCCACAAGCAACGTTAGCACAGCAACGGTCGAAGTTCAAAGACAAAACTAACAGAACATGTGAGTCTTTTGGAAAGTTTCTGCAAAATATGAACACTCCACCTCCTCTCGTACGAGCCTACTTGCTCATCTCCTATACTGCCACCTCTCTACCTCAATTCTCCCAACTTCCTACCACATCTTCTGGGTTTTCCAAAGGATTGTCCAATTTTTCCCCAAACAACTGGCGTCGAGGCAGGGCATAATGTGCACTCGAAGGAGAAAAAAACATGAAAGTCCTCTATCAAAAACATTTTTCTTATGGGCAAATACGGTTTTCTCGCTCCAACGACCAGATATGACCCTCTCGCTAGGGACCGCCGACTTAAAACGTGCTCTGGCTGTTATAGTTTTGTAATATGTCAAGAATCCCGCCGATTACACTCGATGACTCTCAACGTTCCCGGTCAAACTTTGAGAATATATTGGGTTTCTTTTTTTTGTGATTCTTCACGAGATTTGTTTCAGTTGTTAAGCGAGGAGGACCCAAGCCACCAAATGGGAAGCCGAAAGTGGATCCGACAAAGGAACACGCATGAGCATGTGTTGCCTGTACTTCGAGCCCGTCTCAAGCAATTATTATAGACATCTAGTCGGACTCATGTTCATTGTATGTTATAATACTCATGGTCAGTTGGAAGACGAGTTTGCTGATGACCCAGTGTTCCAATTACATATGTTAACTCTGAGTTGCTGAGGAAGTAGATTGTCAGCATTTTATTATCGCCGGGTCTCATAAACGCGGCTATGGGTAGATCATCTTGAGGCATATTGCCGAAGCTACCTTGTAATAGCAGTTTCGGTATATGAAAAGACTATATGAACATAGCAAAGTACGTAGTAAACGTGCAGGGATTCAAGGGACCATGTGAACTTCCAAATAATGTAATGTTCTGACTGGGTTGTATTGCTGCGCTCTCGTCGTGTTCAGAAAAGGGCCTACAAGGCGTTAGGTGATATTAAAATATGATCCTCCAGATGCTGGCAGGGATTTTGATCTATTTGGGCGAAGGAAAAACTCTTTTGTTGCATCACTCCTATGTTTGTCAAAATTGTATATTTGTCGCTTTGTATATTATCGATTCTCAAATGAATTGTTATCTCGAAGTGTGTCTGTGGTTGCAGTTATACTAAGGGCAGATTTTACAGTAAAGCTGCGTTCAGACTTCGGTTGACGCGCTACAACGGCATTGGCGCGCCAATACTGTAGACGGAACGCAGAGGCAGAGTACCGCATTTTCGTATTTTCATCATTTTCGCAGACCCCGCATTTCTTCTCTTCCACATTTTTTCTACGAGGAAAGGTACGCGCGGCGAAGCCGCGCCCGCCCGGCGCAGCCGGGCCGTATCAGAAGGAGCCGCGCCGGCGTCAGCCGGCGAGGCGACTGGTCTGTTATTTCTGGAATCATTGAGTTTCTTGTACTAATCGCCCACATCGACCCTTGTGTTCACCTGGCGCGTCATCGCACGCATAAATAAATAAA